CTTTTTAAAGTCTGTCAGTGTGTTGATCCCAGCCCCACACTTCTCTGTTCAAATGGTGTCTTTGTCACTTTTCCTTCAAAATGTGAATGCTGACATCCTTTTTCTTCAACAGTAGAGTTTTGTTTAGTGATAGAGGCAATTGCTGTTGTGTATTGCATGTTGCATTCATGGCAAAAAAAAAAAAATATCCATATGATCCAACTATTTCTGAAACTCACTGTAAGTGGTCTTTGAATCTTGAGAAAGTCTTCTGATTATCATTTTATCCCCTTTGTTGCAAATCTTGTGAAGAACCACGCGGTGTGGACAAGTTATGTTCTCTCCACTTCAACATTATGGCCTCAGTGCTGCTCACTGAAACATTAAGAAGATTAGAAATATGTCAGCAGCCAGAGCCAGCAGTATGTTTTGCAATAATATTGCTGCAACGATCTTGATTGCTCTCTTTTCTCTCTCCCATGATAAGATGGTTTTGTGATACCTTAATAATTAGGAACATATTTACAGACCATCACTTAGGACTAACCCAGCTGATGATGCTTTGAACTGATGTGGAGCAGGATTGCTTTATAAATACTGTCAGCTGTTTTCTTGGCTCTCTGTGGCTTTTTGCTTTTCCCTTTGCTTAATGTGTTCAATCATTTTTCGATCACGTTCCACTTTATTGCACGTTATGTAATTAGTTTTGATATCTTTGGGAATTATTTGGGTTATTTCCAATACTTGATGTGAATTTAATGTCAGTAGCCCCCAGTTAGAAATATATTTACGGTGAAAAATATTTGTCTTCAGTGCTTTGATTGAAAAGAATTGAAAACAATGCTTATGTACAGTACAATGTGTCCTCAGCAGTGTTTCTGTGAAAGTATTTATAAGCTAAGCTAAAACTGAATATTTTAAATTCAAACAATGTTACAGATAACAAATATATAACTTGTGGAAGAAATAAAATTACAATCTCTCCCAAAGTATCGCATCTAAATTAGATGTTTTAGTTTTTTTTTTACTTAAAGAAGGTAAATGATCTTCAGATAGAAATAGCTGCATTTAGAGGTGATCACCCACCAACTAGCCAGTTCTCCTTCGAACCTATTCTTGTTTCATTAACCCACTACAGGTCAGTTTTCTGCAGAGCTGTAAGCCCGACGACTTTTAAATGGACGTTGGGATTTTGCATAACATTTTCTGACACCTTATCCAACAGAGAAGAAGGGAGAAAAAAAAGAAATTGCACCTGTCGGGGAGTTTGGAGCAAACAATGTGATGTGGTGAGTGTCACAGGATGCCGGTGGCAGTTCATAATGAATAATTAATCAGAAATTGCTTCACTGTGTTTTTGTTTCACACTCTGTATTCGCTCATTGTCCATGTGATCAGCAAATGAGAAAATAAAACCAAACAGGTCTTCTGTCTCTTCTTTATTGGGTTTGTCATGTTGTTTTTCTGTTTAACCATGAATGTGAATTGTTGTAATAATGTGAATACTAAACATGTATACATTGGTGAATTATTTGAAATATTGCATTGCTTATTAAACATATTTATCTTTTTAACTGTGCTCAATGGCGTTTGGCTTGCACTTCAAATTTTTCTGTTAATTATATTCCTTATGAGAGACTATTCCAAATGTTTTTTTAATGATCATGAATTGTTTGTCTCACTTTTCAGTTGTTGTTATTTCATCTTCAAATTTTAATTAGAAATTGACATTTCTTTCCACAGTTTTGTCTTTGACTCTTCGAATTCCCCTAAACCAGTCTGGCAGTACACAAGGGCCCCCTTCTGATTCTCTGTGGTATTACACCTTAATTTTGTCTCATTTTAATTTTATGATATAAAACTAAATATTAAATTAAAATGTAGTCATTGCGGAAAGGTACTTGATTACATGAGGGAACACACAATCTAAAAGATAAATTAAATAAGGGATGCATCCTTAGTGCCTCTCTAGAAGACCAGCTTTTCTCTGTTGAGGACTGAGAGTAGGCAATTTCACAGATTAATGTGTTTGCAAATATAAATGCTGTTAAAGAAAAAAATTGCACAATCTTGAGGACTTATTTCCTGGAATAGTGTTATGTCCAATTCTGGTATTCCAATATTATATTAAAATAAATTCTCTTAGTTTCTGTTCAGATCAAAGATGAACACGGCTTCTAACTGCCAAATGTGGTTATGTGTTCTGTAAATGTGTGACAATATTTTTTGACATATTTGGCCTCTTTATAGAGTAACTAAACATGTCCACAATAGCGAATGCTTTTTCTGTTTTTTAATATGTTGTTTTACAATCTTTTGCAGCAGCTGTATTGGCACCACTGGTAAAGATGTGCAAAAGTCAACATTTACCACAGTTTCAAACGGCACAGTCCAACGCATAAAATGAGTTCATGTTTATATATATATATATATATATTATAAATATATATATCTATATAGATATATATATATATAGATATATATATGTATTTTTTTAATACATGACACCTTATTCCTGATTATAATAATAACAGAACTCCAAAAGTAACATGTTGCACTTAATCTGGTCACTGTTTAAATTCCAAATGAAGAAAATAGAAACAGTAAGAAAGTCTCACCAAAGTTTTATTATGAGCAGATTGGAAACTGGGTTCTCATCACTTTGCATTTCTTGGTAGTGTGTTTCAACTCTTCATCAAGATGTTGACTGTCAATTGTTTCTGTAAAAACAGAAACACTCCTCGTCTGAACACACTGTCGTTTTCTCGCTGTCTGCATTTAGTTTTTGTTCCAGTGTTTTGCCATCTGTACATAACTTTCTTTGCACTGCCATCTGGAGTTGCAGATTTCCATTTTACATTGTGTGCCGTCATTCGTATGCTTCTTTGCACGTTTAAAATTGTCTTTCTGTCATCGGTTCTTCGAACTCACATTTTTGCGTTTCATCTAGTTTTATTTATCTAGAAGATTGTCACTAAATGCTCATGCTAAATACAGTTACTAGGTGCACAGGAATAGGAAAAGTCCAGTCCCTCTACTCTGGGGGAAAGTCATTTCTTTGCAAGCCACAAGAAAGTCTGGAGGCCAGTTCCAAGTCCTTAACTTTGAATTTTAAGTTTTAAGCAACTGATTTGATCAATAATGCAATAAATTTGTATTTCATTCAAAATACAAATTTATTTGACTGAACAGGCAGAAATTGAAACAGCATTTAGCTTAAGAATATCCTCACATTTCACATAGCAATACAACAAATTAATCATTAATTGTGTAAATTCAAATTTTGAAGAAAGTTGAACATCATTGCCTGTACATCTACACATTTGGCATATTTTGTTTTTGTTTAACTACCTCATAATTTCTGTAAACAAATGCAGTGACCTTTTATTATTTTTTTTCCTCTAAAGCCATAGAGCAAAATATTGTGTCTAAGCATGCTTCTCTTCTGCAACTTCACTGCTTGGATAGCTGGATATCCAAGCAGTGAATAGTTTTTGTTGACAGTTTATTCAGTTTAATTTCGATTCAAAAGATGTTTAAGGTATATTGGTGAACATTTTCAACATGAAGTGAAGTCACAGGTGTTAAAGTCTGAATCATGTTCCAAGTCTTTAGGGATATCATCAAGTCGAATATGGAGTCATTAAATGTGTTACTCAGATTTGAGTTGATTCCAGCTCAGACGATTCAAGTCCACACGTCCAGGGAACTGCAGCAATCAATAATGTAATAACCTGCCACTCCTGTAATAAGGTATCAGGGCCAACAGGGTGATAACATTTCTCCAGTAATGTGATAAGTTATTACATTTTTTGGCCAGTATTCTAAAGATAATTTAAAAACGTAGGTCACATGATCTCTTCCTGCGTTGTCGCACATTTTACACTGAGATTTAAATACCAAATGAACTTTGCATCCATTAATTAACTTTCCCTCTGTACATGTAGAAATGCATGTGTATGCGTGTGTTTCAAGCCAGTTGTACAACACAAGATTCTCCAACAGTGATTACAATTGTTAATTAAAAAGACTGAAGGTTGAATAGTATGTAACCTTGACGAATAAATATGAAGTTTATGTCAAAAAAGCTTTCCAAGATATTCTGTCTTGTTAGTGTAAGATGCTTTCTGACTGCAGCTGCTGTATTTTCAAATGTTTTTTTTTTTTTTTTGACTTATCACACTACTATCAATAGGTTATTTCATTAATGGTTTAAAAATCTTATTACACTATTGGCTTTAACACATTTAAAATGGACAGAGGAATGTTATTGGCAGGATTTATGTTATTACAACAAGGATTTCAACATTAGTTATGTTGGTTCTAATCAAAACCATGAACCTAAATACTAACATGATGTCATAATCCATTGTCATATTTACTTCACCTTCATAGCAGCCTGCATAGACCTCACATTTATGTTTTGAGTTTTATTGTTTTGCTGTAATTAATTTCACATATGATTCCATGTTGTGTTTAGTTTCTTATCACGAAATGTGTTTTCTACGCCTCGGTTTTAATCCTTTGATTGTTTTTTTCCTTCTGTGGTCTCCAGAGGTTTTATGCAGTTAGGTGTGTGTGAGCTGTTTTATGCAGATATTGGTTTTACAAAAATTTACATACAAATAGAAAACTCTGACAACTGCTACAATGATTCTTTAAACCCTTTTTTTTTCATTCACCCATGCAATTTGAAATATGAGGCTTTTGCCCCCTTTTTCCACCTCCATTTTAATGTTCTGCATTTTCTTTCTTCAGCTGTCAGATGCCTATTTGCACGATAGATTCAGTGCACCCGGTAGTTTGATACTTGAGTAAACCTTCTTTAGGTTGAGAAGGGAAACTGGACCATCTTGTTCACACTGGGTGTGACACGTGTGTGTGTGTGTGTGTGTGTGTGTGGGGGGGGGTGTGTGTGTGTGTGTGTGTGTGCCACGTCCTGGTCTTTCTGTAATTCTAAGAGCTTTGACACGTTTTTCTTTTCCCTTTTGTTTGCACAAATGCGAGAGTTGGTCGCTAGGAATTTTTCAGGGACACCAACGCTGTACTGTACCAGTTTTATTTGCGTAATGAGCGCATGAAGAACACCTGAAAGGATTCATTTCGACAGATCCATCCTTTAGTTTGTTGCTAAAATGAAAGATCAAAGTAAGGCTTTATTTTAAAGCTGATAGGTTTGCTTCTGAGACTCGTGATCTTTACTTGTCTTTCTTTTTTCTTGGCAGCGCTCCTGACCCTCACCGCTGTGGTTGTGCTCCTTCTAATATTTTTTCTGACTTCATTTGATGCACAGGAGAAGGCACAAAATGTTCTTGGTGAGATGATTTATTTCTATCCTTAAATCTTTAAAGCCCAGTAGTCATCTCTTGTCAATGCTATGCATTCTATTTTATTTATTTTATTTTATTCTATTTCAGGGTTCAATAAAATTCACAAAAAATTCGCAACAGGTAAGTCAGAAATTCACATTTTGCTGCTGGATTATTAATCAAGTCAGTTTTATACTCAATTTGTGTTAAAGTGGTAACCTTGTTCTTTCTTGTGTCTAATTTACATTTTAAGGTACAGCTAAAGTAACACCAAAGTGCAGCCTCTCTGCAGTCTGTCCCTCGGACCACTTTGCTTTTAAAATCTGGAGTGGAGCTGCTAATGTAGTTGGTCCAAAAATCTGCTTTGATGGTAAAAAGTATGTAAGAATGTGGTCGGAGATTCACTTACTGAACCGGCAAAAGCTGCGACCCTGCTGTGAAAATCAATTTCCATCTGTGTCTCAACAGCATTATGAGCAACATTATGAACAATGTGGGACCAGGACTAAACATTGTGGTGGTAAATGGTAAACACTGATCATAAATATAGAAGTCAGCACACTGATAAGCTGTCTGTGTACAGTCATGATGTCTAAATGTTTAATGTTGATTGTTTTTAAAAGGATTAACCTGAATGGTTTCAGGCTTGTAGGTTTATTCTTGCAGAAATATAGTGCTTTGCAAAAGTATTAACACCCACTGATTTGTCACAACTACAAGATTTTACTTGACAGATCAACACGACGTAATTTATGGTTGTGAAGAGAAATAAATTCCAAATATTTTTACAAGTAATCAATGTTTTATAGAATCACATTTTGCTTCAGATCTAGAGACCCAAGGTTGAGTGAAAGGTGTGCGTAAGCGTGAATTTTCAAGTTTTCCTGTAGTGAGATTTAAGTAGAATCTTTGATTAGGACAATCTAATTCATGAATATTTTTGCTCTCAAGTCTAATAGGTTCTCCTTCAGAATTTCCCTCTATTTATCTCCGTCTTGCATCTCATCAACTCTGCTTTTGAAACATGCATCTCCACAGAATGATACTTCCACCACAATTCCTCACAGTAAGGGATTATGTTCAGGGAGTGTTGAACGCTTGAGAGCTCAATGACAAGCTCCTAATCATGCTGTTATAAGCTTTTTCGAAGACTTTCTTCTAACAACAGCCGTCCACTCAGAGATCTATGGTTTTCACTCCAGCCTGTGAGAGGACAATAATATGTTAACTAATATGCGTTTTCTGCTAAGAGGAAGAGAAGAAGAAAGGAAAGGATCAAGTGACGAGAATATTAACCCGGCCTTGTCCACATGACAACAGATTTCTCTTCACTGTATTTCTATAAAGTAAACATCATTGTTGTTGTTTTTCTTCTGGTTTTATGTCTTATATCCGCTGTGGATTTGGTGTCACTGTCTGACTGAAGTAATTATGATCCCTGCTGGCCCACATTGCCAGACTGTTGTGGACAGGTTCAGCTGAATTAGATGAGTTAGATTCATTTACATGCCAGATGGCGGAGCGAACAGGGCTGAATTAGGCTTTGGTTTTTATCCACACATCAGTTGTCGCCTGCAGGTCAAGCGGTTTAGTGTAGGTTTCATCTGAGCAGACTACCGCCACATATTTTATGCGTAGTAAACTTTAAACCAGACTTACAAAGACTTTCTTTCAACAATGGCTATGTAAAAAACATTATTGTACAAAAATAAAATAAAAAGTCTGAATACAAAAATACAACAAAGTTTGTTGCACTTGAAAGGTTATTGCATGTAAAATGTTTGGTTGTATTGTTGTAAAATTGCCTGTTGACCCATGGAAGTCATAGTGGTGAGAGGGAAATGGAAGTTGGTGCATTTAGGATGATAATGGCTTGTGGGAAGAAACTGTCCCTGAGTCTGTTTGTCCTGGTTCTAATGCCTGGCGGAGGGCAGCAGGTCAAAGAGGTGGTAGGCGGCATAAGTGCTGTTTTTGATGACGCGCTTTGCTCTCCTGAAGCAGCAAGAAGTATAAATGTCTTTCAAAGAAGGCAGAGGGCAGCCGACGATCTTCTACACTGTCTTGATCTCTCTCTGGAGCTTCTTCTAATCTGCCTCAGTTCAGTAGCTGAACCACGTCGAGGAATAGTGGGTTATGATGCTCTCTGTGGAGGATGGGTGGAAGGTTAGCTACAGCTTCTGGTAGATGCTGTTCCCTCTAAGCTTTTGCAGGAAATGCAAATGTACCTTCTTGATGACAGAGCAGGACAGAGGAAAGATTTTGGTACCCTGACTCACAGACGAGTGTGTAACATAAATGAGCTTCTGCGTCTGTGCTCCAAGTCATTAAGTAATGTGTTGGTATGTTGGTAATTGTGTTATTCTCTTTTCGTTTTTGTATGATGAAATAGAAAAAAACTCCATGTTCAAAACTTGAAATGTAATTTTTTTTTAATCTAACTTTGCTTTAAACTTCTCCACAACTTTATCCCTGGGCTGTCTGACGTGTTCTTTGATCTTCATGATGATGCTTGATCACTAACATTATCTACAAAACCTATGAGGCCTTCACAGAAAAGCTGGAGTTATGCTGAGATTAAATTGCACACAAGAGGCCTCTATTTGCTATCTAGGTTCATTCTCAGGGCAGTTTAAGTTTAGGGGGTAGTATCAATATCCACACTGCAATATTTAAAATTTTTATGAGAAAAAAGTTCAAATTGTGAATCATTTTCCTTCCACTTCAGTATTATGTGCCACTTTGTCTCAGTCCAGCACAAAAAAAAATCCCAATGGAATTTGTGATTGTAATATAAAAAGGGTGAAAAGGGGTATAAATACTTTTCTAAAACACTATATATATCTTCAAGGCCTTCCAATAATAGTCAAGCAGTCAATGTGTTTCCGACTTAATTATAAAATGGAGTCAAACAGGAAATGGCTACTTTAGCTGCCAAGCTGTTTAATCATCTCATGGTTGTATTCAGACTATTTTTCCCACTACTGTAAATAAAATACTAAATAATTTATTATGTAATATGTTTTTTTTTCTATCACAAATAGGTGAGACTGGAGTTGTAGAAAAATTTGGCTATCTTAACATGATTAGTGGAAGTAAGTAATGACAATTTGTATCACACAGTTCAAATGTTGAGCTTTACTGAAGCTCCAAAGTTTGTTTTCTTTGCAAATTTTAATTTCAAATCAGACTCGGCAGACATCTTGGCATACCTGAAGGGGATAAAACCAGGAATGATTGTGTTGGTGGCCTCTTTTGATGATGCAGCAACAAAGTAAGCCTGAATCAAAACTTTCCAACATTTAAAAAAGATCCAGTCACAGAACAGTGACCTTTTCTGCTCATTTGTTGCAGGATGACAGATGAAATAAGGCAGATGTTTGTTGAGATGGGAAGCACTTTGATCAGCTCTGTTAAGCAAAGAGACAACTGGGTGTTTGCTGGAAGAACGGGGACAAAAATCAAAGGCTTCTTTGAGCAGGTCAGTGGACTCTGTCTGTGTCACTTTATTTGTTGTATTTGTGCCAGAAAAGACTTTGATAATATGCAGAAAAGCAAAGCGGAAAACATAAAACAAGTGTTTTTCTCTTCCTGCCGCTGTAAGCGAGCTGAAAATGATAAGAAAACAAATGTTTTCGATGGATGGCCAGAGATGGTGGAGGTGGGCGGCTGTTTCCCAAGAACCACAAGTGTCTTGAAGACTTGAAGCTATGGAAAGTATTTTATTCTTCAGAATTAAACAAAACACTCTAAATGCATGCTTACCCTTTCTTACATAGTGGTCGCTGCAGTGGGCAGCTATTCAGAAATAGTCTGCTTGCGTTATTGAACTCCTGCATGTCACTTCCTAGACCAACCACTAAACATTATTAAAAAACATAAAATCATGAACTAGGTGGAAAGTAATGCTGGGCACTTGGTGAATGTTTTGGCTTTCCCTCTGTTGTACAAAATCCTTGCGGGCAAAAAAAAATATATATATATATATATAAATAACAATCTGAATTAATTGTCAAAATGTTTATCTTCTCATTTTATACTTGGAGGATTGGAATACATTACCTGTCTAATGAAGTGGACATTATGCATCAATGGTTATGTTTTAGCAGTACTGGTAATGTGCTGTTCCTGGAAATACTTGAATAGCAGCACCTGTTCCTGCATCAAAAAACAAAACCAAACAAACATATTTTGGTTATTAGCCTGTACTTTTGATGTTAGTTCAATTGTGCATGAAGCAGTTGGTGTATTTTACTTATTTTCAATTTTTTCCACTATGCAAGTCTACAGGTGGCACAGAGGAGCTTGGTCAAGTGAGCAGAAAGTTAGTACCCTAAAGATTTTTCTCAAGACATAAATGAAGGATTAGGAAATAATAGACATAGTCATAAAGGAAGTACATAAAACTGTTGAGGATTTGACATTCACAAAACTTAAGGACATTATAAAGCATTGGATTTCAGGATGCTCAAAAAAAATCTGTTGTTTCAGTGTGGTTGCCTTGTGGATATGTTCCTTAGTCGTACCAATAGGTTGCTGGTTCGGGTCATTTAGTGCTCAGAGGTTATTTGTTAAATTCTGGGGTTAGGTAAAGCAGTAGAGCTCCCAGAGGTATTAGTTTGAAGGGTGAAAGGAGCATCTAGAAAGACTCTGTATAACACTGAGACCTCTTTCACTGTATTCAATAATACTAGAAAATGGGAAAATGTGTATGATAATGTTTTTTGCAATATTTTAGTTTTTTCCTATTAAATATTATTAGTGTTTTGTAACATTCAGCTAAATCCAAATGTTTCACACCTTTGGCTGATTTAGGTTTTATAGCAGCATTACCTTTTGAAAACATTTCCCTACTGACTGTAAATATAATAAATGTTTCTGATTGGAAAAATGAGAGTCTTGGCTTGAATCTGTGGTTTGATTTAAAGATTAAGGTGATGGCTGGAAGTCCTTCCAACCTCAAAGACTTGCTCTCCAGGAAATGACATCACAAAGTTAAGATTTCTGCAATAACAATAAAAGTTACTTTCAAGTGAGTGAGGACAGAAATCATTTTTGAAATTTCAGCTTTTATTAAAATATAAATAAAAAACAATTACTTTGTGTAATTATCTTTTCTTAAATCATGTTGGGCTCACGTGTGCCTATTTTAAAAATAAAACCCTTTTCTCACATGAGAAAAAAAGTGAGAAATGAGTGAAATGTGGGGACGTCCAAAAAGGCAAATGCTTAAAAATTACATGGAAAGAAAATATTTAATGTATGTTTGTGTCACAAAGACAAGTATTGGCGAGTTTTTAACATGTTGAAACTTCATCTTAAATAGTTTTCACTTTCACAACAATGATGAGAAAATATAAGACTGCAAGGGACATTGAATCCCTTATGGACTAGTTGGCATTATTATCCAGAAAAGATGAAACTTGTGTTTAGTGCAGATTGTGATGAATCATCTCAGAAGGCTTTCGAACAGCTTCAGGCTGACCTGAGGCTGTCTCCTCTGTCTGTCTGAGTCTTGTGATGGATGAGCTGTGTACAGTGTGGAGTGGAAAACAGGAGAAGTTTTATGAGCAAAAGCCAAAGGAGACACCCTGTACAGTAACAGCAGCCCAGAAATGTGAAATTAATGTTTGTTTTAATGAGCCAGTCTTTCTGAAATGCCACAAAAATAGATCTCTTTGGGAATAAAGAGCATCGGTTTGTTTACAGTCAACAAAATGAAGTCCATGTGGGAAAGCGTTGTCTGTCTTTTGTTGCCCTGTGTGTTTTCTCCCCTAACTGGTTTTTGGATAGTCTCTGAGTCATACTTTGATCTTTTTGAATCGTTGTGACTTTGAACACTTATCTAGATGATCATTTTTGGACTTCTTTGAAGACAAATATCTTTGAGTGAATTTTTTACACTATGTAACTGGGTTAGGGGTCTCAGCGAGACTTTTTGAAGGATCGTTTTGATGTTTTAGCAATGCCACGCAGTTTTTGTGCTTATAAGATGTCAAAACATCTTCAAAACCTAACTCTGAAAGATATTGCATGGCCTAACTTTGCCTCTTTTATAGATTCAAAAGATCAAAGTCCATTTTCTTCTGAATTTATTCAGATTCTGACATCATCCAATATTTCTGTATGTAACCTGTTTGTTTTGAGTGCTGCTTTCCTGGGAGGATAATTATTTCTTGAAAAAGTTTCTATTTATCTCTTTTGCTTGGCAAGTGGAGCAAAGAAAGAATCGCCTCAAGTAAACTGCAGAAACTTACTTGCTGATACAAGTGTTTGAAAAAGGTTCAGAACACAATAAAATATATTTTTTATTTATTTCATTTCTCCCTTAGTTGAAAAATGCAACTTTCTAAGAATTGATCCATTCAGAAGGTTGGACCAGAGACACTTTTCAGGCAGTTCTTTTCTTCTGCTGGATTTGTGGACATCCTGCAGGACGGAGATCCCGGGTCGGATCCAGAACATTTTGAATGGATTATTTTTCCCTTTTGGCCCTTGAACAGCGGTGGAGAAGAATGCCTTGGGTTCCCCACCTGGACCCGTGGCTCCTATGACTCAGATAAGCAGACAAAGATGAATGGCTGAATGGACTCTGTCCACCCTGAGACCCAGCAGGTCTCTGACCAGTCACTGAATTCCTGATTCATGCTGAGAACGTGGCAGTGACCCATAGTGAGGTGAGTTTTCTCCTGACTTCCTCGTGAAACACATCATGTGAGTCATGCTTCAGGAACATTAGGATAACCAAGCGAAGCCTGTGGGACAAAACATCTTTCTCAAAGTTATAAAACAAACGCTTTAGGTTCAACTCACATTTTTCGGTTTTCTGTGTCTCACTTCTACTTATTTCCCCAGAGGAAGTGAATAATCGGACCAAAAACGGGTCTTTATCAACTGAAAAGTTCCCCTGAACAGTGGGCCTCAGAGACTGTTTATGCTGTCATGTCCTATTAATTCCTCTCAGCACAATATCCTCTGTGTGAGACTGGCCAAACAGCAGGACTCCCCCTTCATCAACCAAACAGCTGCTGGCACTGATGCCACCATTAAAGACCTTTCTGCGCTTTTATAGATTCTTTTTCTATTTAGATCATTTGCTGCTGTCTCGTGAAATCCAACTAATGATGTAAAGTAGACACTGCGGAGCGTTTGTGATGGTAGCACATTATAGAGAAAGAGGACTATTTTCTGCGTCGTGTAACTCATTTTGCAAGGAAGTTGCTGTTTATGTACAGGCGTTTATAACCGCGTTTCATCATGCCTTTCTTTAATAGCTCTTTGGAGCCTTTTGGGAAGTCGGGAAGACAAACTTTTGCAGTTCTGAAACTAAATGTTTTCCTTCAATTAGTTGATGATGGATCTCAGCTGCCCAGCAGTTCAGAACCTTCTCTCGCGCTTTGTTCTGTTTGTTTTCAGCGCACAATTAGTTCTGCAGTCATGTCTGTGTATCACCTAAACTACCTTTCTATGCAGCTGTGTTGTTTTTTAAAAGAGTCTTTGGCGCTTTGAAGCACAAATCTTGTCATATGTGTGTAGGTTTTGATTTATTAAACAGTTAGTGCACTGGTTTTCTTAAAATAAACCAAGCGAATCGATGAAACTGATAGAAAGAGAGCTTAACATGATCTGTAGACTGATGACAGCCAGCTGAAGGTTATAACTCGTGCTAGTAAGTGAGTACGCACATGCATTATATTTATCAGATAGTTTTAAGAGAAAAAAGCACAAAGTGCCTCACGCAAAGCCAGAGGAAAATTAATAAAACATGATGAAAAAGACAAACTTTTCCGCAGAACCGATTTACATGTTTTTCAGTTGAACTGTGTGTTATACCCATACAACAGATCAAAGCTGAAAAAAATGCTGATATCATTTATAATGATCTCATTAAATCCGACTGAAAATGTAGCATTTCATCAGGGAGCGTGGACACTTTTTATATCCACGACATAAGACTTTAAGATTTGGTCAGGAATGAGGGGGCTTTAGATCCTCTGGGATTTCCTGCTGCTGACCGCAACCGCTGGGAAACCTCAAATGAAGCCGATGGTGATGGATGCAGCTTTCTGAGCTGGCAGCAGCATTCAGAAGCACGGAAAGAGGAAGGTGAGAAATGAATCAGAAGTTGTGGAAAGTTAATGTCTCTGTGGTGGAACGGGCATTAGGTCTCTTGGGCCCGTGACCCCTCAAACTGAGCGCAGAAGAGGTGCAGAGGTAAAATTCTCGGATGTGAACTTCAAGACCAGGTTTGAGACGGAAACCTGGTCTTGAAAAAATCTTCACATTTATAAAGCTAATGATGCATCTATTAACGTGTTTCTTCAAATCTCCTGATTCTCTGACAATTAAATGACAGATATTTTACAATTTTCTTTCAGGAACATTGTCTTAAAAAATGTCTTTACAGTCTTTAATTCGTAGCTGTAACTTAACTTCTCTCACTTAATATTCATAAAATATCCCACTTTTCAAGCCTAACACAGATTTTTTTTCCCCCCTGTCAAACTTAAAATGAATACAATCAAAATGTTCAATTTTCAGAAATCATTAACTTGCTTTTCCAGTTACATTTTCCACAGTGCCCTGTCTCTTGCTTTTCCATTGTTACATTCAATGAATTTATTATCAGACAACAAAGGCAGAAGGAAACAGTTTATTCAGCTGGCCTGTCTGAGTCCCACAGGGGGAGTGATTCTTCTCTCGTCAATTAATTCTGCTCAAACTCCATCAAATGAGGATCTCAGTAGGAATCGGACTAGTTCTTGTTTGATCCCCTCATTAATGAGGTAGCTGTTCACCTTGAGGGCGCACGCTTCACTGGACATGTAGCACACCAATGGCTTCATTTGTATGTCATCATTATAACACCGACATGTGTTGCTGTTGCGTGAAATTATTTATTTGTTTCATCGGTTAGTTTATTTAAAACATTTTTGCACACTAGAATTTTGAAATATCCAAAGATATGAGTGCCTGAGGTATTTGGCACTCAGGTTAAAAAAAGAAAGATATTTAATGTGTTTGTGTTTTTAAGTGATTTAATATATATATATTTTTATTAATGTTAATGTAATAATGAATACTATCATTAGCATCAATACTAATGTTATTTTATTTATATATATATAAATTTGTAATAATTAAATTAGTTCATCATTAATTACTTAAATACTAAAATGGATGTTTCTGTTTTGACGTGGTGTCAGCTGGAAGTTTGGTCTGAAGAATCCAACAGAACCACATCGACTGCAAGAGCCAAAGCTGAGATTCCTGAACCAGACTCCCTCCTGTCCCTGATTCTACCTTGAGATCCTGTCCATAAACACCACAAACAGGATCGCTCACAATTAGACATTTTTCACATTTTCCAAAAAGGACACAACATAAAAACTAAGTCATTGATTACTAGATATGTGTGTCTAGACACTAATCTAAAATAAAAACATTTAGATGTAACAAAAACTGCAACATATGATTTTCCCCTCCACACTGAATAAATGTACTTGATTTAAATGTTTTTTTGTAAAACTTTCAGTGTGAGTTTGTGGCATTACAAACCGAACCATTTATTCGTTGAAGGATAACTCACCCACACAATTTTACAACTGCCTATTTTTAAAGACAAAAAAAAAAAGGAAACCCAAAACAACTGTGAACTCGTCATTTTTGGCATCTTCTGCATTTGCTTTTTTAAATTGAATCTGAAGAAGCAAGATAAGAAACATGTCATCACTGCTTCATCACAAAACTAAATCCAGCTCTGTCAACCAGCTTCATCTCCATTTTAGCATTTTAAGAAATACATACAGTGATAGTGGGTGTTAATAAAGTCAATAAACATTTTAAATATTGTATTTGTCATACGGATAAACTAGTTAACTTTAAAGTATCACTGAAACTCCACTCAGTTTTAAATTTTTTCACTTTTCAAGATTATTCTCCCTTTCAAAACAGCTTCAAGAGATATGTAAAAAAAAATCTGTTTCAACAGCAAGCCCAATATGATATTACATTAAAAAAAAACAATAATAGTGAACATATTGCATTATGGTGCAGATTCACCTATGTTAACATGTGACTGAATACCAAGAGTTTTTGTCTCTTCTTTCTCAGCTCCACTGCCGGGTAGAAAGCAGTGATCTTATCAGACCCCACAAAACCTCCCTGTCATTTAACAACCTGCAGACACTCCACCAATAACCGTGGATGACCCACAAGAGGTTGGACAGATACACACTGAAAGTCATAAATACTCGCAGCCAAGTTTTATTATTTGTATAAATCCTGGAATTTGCTGTCTTTTCGGAGAGGAGAATAGGCCAGGAAGGACACTCTGGTCACTTGAAAGCTTTGGAGAGGCGAGAGCAAGAGGGAAGGGAAAGTGGGGGTCGTCTTCCTCCGTGGAGGCCAGTGGGAAAAGAAGAGATGGCTAAAAAATAGCAAGACTTTTTATGGAGCTCAACATCTGAAATTTGTGGATGTATGTCCAATGATCTCAGTTATTTGAAATCAGTGCTTACATTTAAAGGGCTAATTGTGTATTTGTGATGATTAAGACCTACAAACGTTTGTAACACTCATTTATGACCCTTTTGAGACATTTTTTTCTCCAGGTATACTTTAGATCCACAAAACTTATCCACAAAATTATTGTTTTCTAGTTTTTGCACTGCTTCAGGTAGTATACCCATTAAACTATGTTTGTCTTTCCTAAATTGTACCATGAAGGAAGAAAAATGCATATGTGGGCTGAACGAAGAAGAACTGGTCCCCGTCCCACCGCAGTGCGACAGGCAGGTGACCTCCATCAGGAGGAGGTTGGCGTGGTGTACATGTATGGTTCTCTCATGCACTTCTGATGCCCCTGCTTGTTCAATGAATGAAACTGTATTTAGGAGGGACTAAAGAAATTGGGACTAAAGAAATTGTGATGAAAGATTGTCCTGATTGATTGTTGCGTTTTGATAGAGCTCTGACCTTCCTGGGATTCACGACCTACACTATTTTGGAACCTGCAAATATCAAATGGGTTTTGGAAAACAAATGAATTGATACATTGATTGTGCAGCATGCTTTGTAGTTCCGTATTCAGTCAGTGGAGGGCATCCCAACCAAGTCTTTGTCAATGTACTGAATTTAATCGTGCATGACATACCATATCTGATTTCTTTCTTTCAGTTTCCATGGAAATTAACAGAGATGCGTGATGAATAAGTATCTGTACTATAACTGTACATGATTTTACTGCCTGCTTTATTTTTATGAATTTTGCTTTTTCATCAAGCAGTCTTTTTTTATCTATATATTTATGTGTTTCGTGGATAACCTTCCTTTTGAAGGGGGTTCATCTCAAGATCTCAGGATCCCAAGATCTTCATGTAATTACATAAGTTTTGCTTCTACTAAAAAAAAAAACAAGAAATGTAAGAAAAACCCTCAATTAAAATTCCAAATTAAAGTGTTGTTTAGAACCTTTGTTCTCAATAATACAACAAACTGCTGTGAATCCTGAGATAGGTGACATTGTGTCTATCTCTTTTAGATATTTTGCTCGCTTGGCTTATAAACCCAGGATCATTGAGTTTGGCTAAATAATAAACAGGTATTACAGAAAAATACACAGTTGAAAGATTGTCAAGCTATAAAAAATAGGTATGTGTCTTAGAATCAGTGTCAAAAACTTTGGTTTAGATTAAAAGCCCCAAACAATATGAGTTCAGTCAATCTAAAAGCTTATTATAACAAGTTTTATGAAAAGGAAGCAGAGTGAACAAAACATTCTTTCCCAATTCAGTCTGAGCAAAAGGGACAGAAAGAAGCAGAAAATTGTGTGAGCGAAAAGTACAACAGTCCACAATTCTCAGTACAAATATACCCTGGCAGGAGTCCAAGTACAGCTTTGTAAATAAAACTCAACCAACATGATTTCCCTCAGGTAGCCGTCACAGTCTTGAGTATAAATCACAGTGATACAAATATATACTTATGTCCTTTGCACACCACCAAATTAGTTATGAGGTTGCTTAAGGGCGAAAGGTCAATGTGTTGGAGTGACCATCGCAAAGAAAATCTGTAGTCTGAACAGAAGAGGTGTTTGTGAGAGAGACGGCCTATAAACTTGACTCCGTTTATAGGCGGCCCATTCTTTCCTGTCAGGAGAAATGGGCCAAAATTACAACGATCCATTGTGAGAAGCCTGTAAAGAGATTCACAAAAGATTTCATCAGTGTAATAAAGTTTAAAAAGCAACCCCACCCCATTCAGAGGACGTATTTAAACCTCTGAATTTAAAGAGAAGGAAATCAAATTTATCATTCTTAACTGAAAATAGGAAAGGTTTATGTAATTTAATGTCAGCCAATGGAAAAAAAACATACACAGTGTAAGAAACATCTGTGTTTTTATGTTTCTAGTTAAATGTCTGATGTGACAGCAATGTTCCCTATTAGTGGTATAGTTTTATGTATTTTGCTCTGTGTAACATAATACTATACCTTTGTTTATTTTCACTTCATTCTCACCCAGCAATAAAAGAAAGAAAAACAAGTAGGTAAGATAGGAAGGCAGACAAATTTGTTTATTGAGATGTGCAAAAGTCTTAAAATTATTATTATTGTTTATTTATTTTATTATTATAGAATCAGAATCTCATGGAAAAAAAAATAAAAATCTTTGTTTGAGAACAATTCATCTGAAGCTGAAAAAATCCCTAATTAAAAAAAGTTTATTTTTTTTTACTAAATCCACTAATTCTCCGTTGTCATAATTATTCATCCCTCAAACAGCACTTTTGAATACATGCAGCTCTGAATGCATACTTCTTAAAATGTAAACATTATCATTCTGTAAACATACAGCAATCTAAGATTTTCTGTTTCCAAGCATAACATTTCTCAAATCCACTGGCCACCAGGCTGGGTCTGGACTCATGTCTGTCTTGCCAACACAAATAGGAGGATTCTCAGAGATGCAGCTGAAAGAGGCATCTAAGTCTCTATCACAGCTGTTAGTCTGTGTCGACATGACAAACAGTTAGTTGGGAGGCTGTCCTGATATGTTGAGTTTATCCAAAGTTATTTCAACCAGACCACTTAATTTTTCTGCAAAAACATCGTTCCACACTGGATTTGTACTGATGAAAAATTTGAAAAGCTGCCTTAATTAGGTAAAGAGATCTGTGATGCTATGGGCTTGTTTCTCTTCCAAAGGCACTGTGATCTTTGTTGAAGTACAAAGTTCTTTGAAATACTAGGAACCATAAAAACGACAATCTGATAGGCTTGATCAGCAAATTTCTCAGCTATTTCCACAGCATTAAGATCCACAACATGTATCTAAATTACAAAGAATGATTCATCAAATACAAAGTCAACTTCCCCTGCAGGGCCAAGAAATGTCTGCACAGCTACAACATTAAACCAAAGCACACAGTAAAGAATGCAAGTAGTTATCTGTGACCTGAATCTGTTCACAACTGAATCTGTTTTCTCATTTTACTTTCCACTTTAAACACTGTCTCGTCCCATGACAATACAAACAATGCATAGACAAGGAAGTTTTATTTCATTTCCTGCAGTCATTTCTTTGTGGGTACAAATCGTATTTTCATACAACTTTTTTCAATAACCCATGATGCATTGCATCCATACATTTGTAGCTCAAAACAGCTTTTACAAAAAAGGATATACAATATATACTTATATTTATATTTTATATATATATATATAATATACATGTGTTTCTTTATGCATTTTAGTGTGTTTGTAACGGGTAACAGAAGCTTTGAAAAAAAGAAAACATAGCCAGGTCGAGATAAATCCCAACAGAAAGTCTTTACCAAACATATAATGGCCAGGTTATCAAAGTCATCAACATTGGCTATATATTTTGCTCAACATGAAGCCCTTCAAACACAGTTTGCATATATTCCACAATTACAGTCATGTAAATCCAGAGTGATTTGCCTTGTTTTTTTGTTGTTTTTTTAGTACTATGGACCCACATTAACAGCTACATATAAAACAAAACTCTTTAACGAAGGAGGATCAGTTAATGGGTTTGTTCACTGACTTTCTAAAGCTTTCTTTTTTTTCTTAAAACAGAATCCAACATGTCATGGGATACATTCTTTTATACCGATAACGATGTGAAGAATATCAGGATTATAGGCCTTTTTAATTCAGTGGTTAAGTCGCAGCAATGATATTATGTGTTTTCAATCACTTGTAGAATTGGAGTGGCTGTTGAGTTGTACATTAATTAAGTAAACAAACAAAATAAATCATGTATCACAATCTATGTATGGCTTCATGTCTTTTCCTTAAGAGGACAAATGTAAATAGTGCACTCCAGCAGCCAGTTGTTGCTACTTGTACATTTGTTTTTAAGACCCTGCTGAAAATAGATTTAAAAAAAAGTACTAACTTAGCACAATAGCTGATATGTGTGTGTGTGTTTTTTTTGTTTTTTTGTTTTTTTTTTTACTTGGGTCAAAGATGAGGGGGAAAAACAAGCAGAAAAACACAGCCATAAATAAAGTACAGGAAAAATATCACTCAGAAAGAGACTTGACTGTTTGAGTCAATGCAAATGATAAGTCTGTGCTGTGTTGTACTTTGTCAAGATTACTTCAGGTGTTAATCACTTCACATTATATAGCTCAAAAATTACATCAGTTTTCAATACAACATAGTAATATTAAATTGTGTATTTATACTAATTGATCATCATTCATGTAAACATATTAAACCAGGTCATGCAAACAGTAGACCAAAACTTTTTTCCACTAGAGGTGCACAGCACAGAGCGGGCAGAGCGCCCAGACTGAGATCCTCCCGACTCAACATGAGCCGGGTCTGGGCCAGAACAGGAGACTGACAGCCTGTGGATTTCTTTATTTTTATCCCTTTATTTTATTTATTATTATTTATATATATTTTATTTTATTTTTTATTTTTCTGCTGAAAACAAAATGGTGTTTCTGTCTTCCTCATGGCATAAGAGCTCATGATATAAAGACATAGTGGGGATCTCAGTTTGAACCTCTGATAACAAAACAGCCGTAAAACAAACAAACAAAAATGTCTCCTTTTGGATATTCATACATTTCAATGGTTTTTCCCGACAGGAAGCATGCAGACACTTCAGGTCAAAACCACCCATTACTAACCCAGTCTGAGCCAGAATATTGAGTCCGAAAACCCCATGTTTTAATTGCTACTTTCAGGTATCTCCAGGTTGTTTGTACAAAGTGGTAATCAGTCAAGGGAAAAAAGAAAAAAAAAAAAAAAAACAATAGTTGATCAAATAAAAAAAACTTAATTTAGCAGTAATAGACAGTCAACATTAAGACAATTGATCTCAGTTACTGTTAAATATTATTATCCACCTGATCTGAACTTTTGTTTTACTTCTCATCCACATGAAAACAGCATTTGTTGGGGAAAATGACATTTTACGCTTTGCATTTTGTATTTATTTATGAATAGAATATCCAGCCATTAATGCCCACTATATACTTTATGGATGTAAACTCTATCCAATAAAGAATTAGATTAAATTGCGCTACAATGGACTGAAATGCATTTCAGTCAGTTAGAAAATGAGTAAATGAGATCTATAAATGTGACAGAATTTGAATCTGGTGGGTTATATTGGGACTTATATATATGTTGTATTCTGTTAAAATTATTTAGTAAATTTTAGTCAGTTGGATGATAACTAGGATAAACTAGACTAGTTTTATAAGTAATATTTTTGGTTTGAACTGTGTTACAGTGGACTGAATTGGATTATATTTGGGGGTGAAAAAGCTCAAATAAATTAGAGTTTTAAAACATTACTTGAGCTGAGCTATACTCAGCTGGAATGAACTGGAGTTAATCTGTCTCTTTCTAACTGAAGTGTATTATATTTAGTTGGAAGAAACTGGAAGCTATTTATTTATTTAGAATAATAAATTAGACTGAAGTATTCAGTTTGTAAGAGTGAGACTAAATCTGATTCAATTGGACTAAAACCAGATGTAAGTGGAAAAAAACTAAAGTCAATTATGAGTAAACTTGGTTGGACAGATTTCTAAACTGGAACTGAATAGGAAACCGAAAAGAGTCGATTAGGTTACAGGCTACTGTATCTACTTGTTAAAACAATTTGATCAAATCACATTACAGCAGAACTGAATTCAATTTAAGTGAAATGGTTTATTTGATCTAAAATGTTCCCTCAGTGGACTTTTGTTTTGCAGAGGTTCCACACAAACTGAGTTGTTCACTAGGCATTAAAACATAACTTGAGGGGGAAACAATGTTCAGCTACTTGACTAGAGTCACCTCTTGGACAGTGGCTGACATTTCATTAACAAAGAGTAGAAAGACCTGCAGGACTCTCTTTAAGTACTGGTTCCCTTTAAATGGTATTTTCTCTGTAACCTGCCTGGCCAGATTTTTCAGGGAAAGCTGCCAGTATTGTGTGGGCCAGAGGGATGCAGACACGGAAATTATGATTGGAGGTAGATGTTTCACATAATGAGACAACAATTATGATAAATAACACAGCTTTAAGAACGCTTCTTTGATTGAAAGCCCCTGTGAAGGTAACATGTTGAACTGTTAGTAAAAAAAAAAACATGCTCTGTTATGGCTGCACAAAAAAGATAATTTCATTATAAATCTGAGTTGCTGACTTAGACCTTTTTAAACTTTCAGCCTTGAGAAAGCTGCATTCTCAAAGCAGCCTTACAGATGTTTTTCAGCTTTTGGTTTGTTGTCATGACTAAATGTTTCAGGCATGTGAGGCGCGCAGTGCTCTACACAGCAGAAGAGATTTTCTAGATGACAATGTTGGTTGGTTTTTTTTCTATTTGAGGATAATGACACTTATTGTGGTACAATGTAGGACCTACATTACAAACTTAAACTTAGTCATTTTATTTCTCATCTGCTGTTTAATTCTTTTGAGATCTTTTAACCTATTTCACGTTCCTTCTTGATTTTGATGGTCTGGCAGTAACTAGTTCTCTATGTGGCTGTAAAATTGAACAACAATAAGGTCAAATAGAGGCAAAAGCTGTGATTAACCTTTCTCTTTAGTTAACCTTGCTTTGGTTAGTTTGCCTTGATAATTGAAATCATCACTTATGAACTACTTCTTGTATTTCCCCTTGTATCTTTTGACAGTATAATTTGCTTAACGATGCAGCAAAATATTGAAGTGTGACAAAATAAAAATAAAAATCTGGAATCGGTCAAATACTTTTCATTAAAATAATGATGTATTTAAAAACAATTAAAAAAAGAAACAACAACATATATTTGGTTCTTAAAAAAAAAAAAAAGAGAGGAGAACTGGGTATGTGCTCTGGTGGACATTGACTAATATCTACTCTGCCTTACTGGCCAGACTGGGTGGGCGGGTTCTGGGTGCTCCAAAGACACTTAATCATCATGACACCAGGAGGCCTTGCTCAGATGCGACTGGTTGGCCTGCAGCAGTAGGTGCAGCTTCTCAGGCTGTCCCGATCTGTGCTACCCTCGTTACTTCCACGGCGGCCATCATCGTAGTGCGACACTGGGTGATGAAGAGCAGAGCAGCAGAGGAATTAAGAAAAACCCGAGGGTTAGTCATTACGTGTACAACATCAAAGTTAACATTATTTTTTTTCAGTATATTTAAAATGAGAGTTATCTGTTTGACTGTGACAGTGCTGCATAATTTGATATGTTGGCAAACCTATCCAACTAATAAATAAGATTTATGAGTAGGAGGGAAGATATAAGATATGCAATAGAGCAGAATTAATGCAATATCCATTCAAGTCTAACAACAGCACACAGGGAACACGTCTTTTGCTTTCTGTAGCAGCAGGACCTTCATCTCACTCATTACCTTTAACATTTTGATGCTTTACATCATACACAATCAGACATTTTGAAAGTTGTAGACAGGAGCTCATGGCAGGCTTAGATTTATAGTTTCCCTATCCATTTGTAACAAAACTCTTATAATATGACAATGTTAACACAAAGTACCACCTGTAACCATTTCTACATGTGCATGTTGCACACGACACACATGATGCTTTGCAACTGCAGGTCTTGCAGAGATCTAAATTATTACTTTAGGAGTAACAAATGACAAGGGTTAGAAAATGTAACACAGTAGCTTCTCTTATGATAGAATACATTCATTTACAACATAGTTTAAGGGAAACTTAGACTAAGCAAATAGAAATAATAAAAGCAAAATAGAAATACATTACTTCTAAAGAGTTACTGAGTGTTGTGAAAGAAAACACACAATCCCATCTGCACAAAAAATTTATATAACTGCTTTGAGTGCTTTTTGTCATCATTTGTCAACAGGCTGGAATGAGTCACAACCAGATCGTCTCTAAGAAATATGGCAGACGGGGCATCCTGGCAGCTAAAGGATTTGTAACTGAAAAAAAATAAATCTTACATTGCTCATCATTATTCTGTCCTGTAAACTACACAGTTGGTTAAAGAACTTTGTAAAGTAAGCCTGAGATTTCTCTAAAGTTAATGCAGTATCTATCTTTTTATGTAATCTTAAATATTTTTAAATTGTAATATCATACAATGACTCACTACTTCTACACACACCTGTCAAAATTCCAGATTTTTTGACTACAATGAATAACTTTTGTTTTTTTTTTACTTTCAGTGTCATCACATGTTTCCTCCACAATTCAGACAGTAAATAAACCATATCAGAAGAAAATGTAAGGAATAAAAAGTTTGCAATAACCTAATTGCACATCCTTAAACTAAAACTTTATTGAAATACCTTTTGATTTCAGTCTTCTTGAGCTCTAAAGGAACGGTGTGGTTTTTATCTTAACACATAAATTTGGGTGAATATTTCTGTGTGAACATGTGGTGCGTCTAAGGACTCCAACTACAAGAAATCGATGTGATCAAATTAAATCGTGAGATATTTCAGCAAAGTATTATTTAAAGACACATTTGTTGTTTATTTTTCTCTTTCCCACTTGACATGTTTATTCATTGTTTTAGTTAATTTACACAATATATCTGTAACTTTGAAAGTGGTAAAAAGAAAATATGGACATTATTTATCATACACTTATTTGAAATGTCAAAAAATTATTTCTAACTGAGGTGTGTACTCCACTGTGCACAAGCGAAATTAAAGACTTCATGTCTTAAAAAGTTTTTGGAGGTACCTTCACAAAGCACCTTTTTGCAAGATTCATCTATTAACCACATACAGAAATGGACGGTTTGAAGTTGTATTTGCTCGTTGACTGTGAGCTGCTGACTTACAGCTCTCCTCCTCCTCATTTCCCAGTTCATCCTCCTCTTCCTCCACCTCCTCCTCTGGGAGCAGATGTCCATGGCAAGGACTGGTGGGAGTAATCTGACTCGGTCCCTCGAGACTGGTGCCCAGCTGCAGCCTCCGCATGTGTCGCACCACCGCCGTGGCATTGAATGCTTGCTGCAGAAGCCAAAAATACAAGAGAAAACATTAATATATATATATATATATATATATATATATATATATATATATATATATATATATATATATATATATATTATATATATATATATAATATATATATATATGTGTGTGTGTGTGTGTGTGTGTGTGTGTGTGTGTGTGTGTGCTTCCTGTATGTCAAAAATGTCCTCTATTTTTTGTTCCTTGTATGTTTTCTTCTTTCTGACAGTGATTTGAAATCTGACTTGTAGAAATAAATATTTCTAATTTAAAATGTTTTGTTTTAACAGGCTGACTGAAACATCATGCCAAATATAGTCCAGTAAGAAAAATGTAAGAAAATTATAATTTTAAATTTGTTAAAATGAAGTTGGACAACCAATTAGAAATAAGTGTCTTTGGAGAATTACATAAAGAACTGAATAATAAATGCATACAATAGTACATTCACAATACATTCCTAGATTCATTTTTGACAGATGCTATCATGCATATTTTGTAAATCAATTCAAATAACTAAATATCCTTACATCAACATTGTTCTTGTGGTGGCCCTGTTTTACCAGTGATTATGTTTTTGTGTAAATGAAAAAATATTTTGCACATGAAAACTTTACCAATAAATAAGAAAAGACTCTTTAAACTGAACAGTGAAGTGAAAATTGCAAAAATCACAGATGGTGTAGCCCACTAGAGGTTACATTAAATTATTTATGATAAACTCCCACACAGTCATACTGGTGTGTAACAGAAAGTTGCCTCCCAACAAAAGATATGTCAGTAAACTTCTGAGTGTTTTATAGCTGGGATGTTTAATCCTTTGTCACTTGGAGAAAAATGAACTTAAAAATCATTTTTATTTGATTATATTAATATCATTATTTTTGCTGCTCAACAGGTAACTAAACACAAAAATGATTTTGGGAAACCAGCAAAAATATTCTGATTTTGGTAGAAAAGTGATCTGTAGATCACTGAAGATCCTAAACATGAAGTCAGAGGCTGAGCCCAAACACAGCAGAAAGAGGAACATCATGGGTCAGTTCGTGAGCAGATGAAGACAAATTATGGCCATGTTTGTTTTTAAGAAACGTTAGGACCTCTGCTCTTTCCCAGCTTATTCAATTCAGTTCTTTTCTTCATTTGTTTCTCTGCAGAGACACCGTATAAACCAGGGCATCAACATCTCCCCCAAGAGGCTTTAGTAAAAACTATATTTCTGGGGAGAAGATGGTTATACAGTTAACCTAAAAATAATAGGACCAAGGCTCACATACAAGAACACAGAGAAATATGTTCACTTGAAAATACTTTCAGGGTGCAAAGACATACAATTTTTATAGTGACAAGCCTTCATCATAAGTTTACAGAAAATGCACTAACTGACAAAAATTAAGCAGCCAGACTTGGTTGCTTTACATTTGTCATCAGTGAGTCCCTGCTTTTATGTTGAGGTGATATTCTGAAACCAAAATAATTAAACTTAACTGTTCTGTAATGGCCCCAAAGTTCCTTCTCTACCTTGGCAGTGCCAGAACAATTGTCTGCATGAGTTTAATTGTTTTCATTAACGGCACCAGGGGAGGTGTAGATTTTATGCATGCCTGCTTTGGGTTCAAGAGAAAGAGAGACAGACAAAGAGAGATGAAGAGAGAGAAAGAGATGTTATTGCTGCTGCTTCTCATGCTTGTTTGTGCTGGGATCTCTTAAGACTTTATATCACTGGGAGGCTGTTAAAAATCTGAGGGGACATTGAGGGACATTTTAGGTCTGTCTCGATGTGAAAATTTGCCAGGTGGTGACTAATTTCTATAAATCCAAAGGAATGTGTGCAGTCTTTTACTTCAGTCCAAAACACTAAATGTACAACGCCACATCGGCGCAATGATTGCCAGTTTTTAAATCTGTCTAAGTGAGACAAAAAGGCAAAGAAGAAAGCATGCAATCCAAGTCCTGCTGGAGCTAAATCTGCTCCTTTCACAGTTTGTCGACTGACCTTCCATTTACTTTTGGCAAAGTTCTTCTTGATTTGAGCGCTGACAGATTCATGGATATTCTTGTCCAGAGCTGTGTCACCACATATCCTGAAAAAAAAAAAAATGATAATGAAACAGGACACATTAAAGGGACTTTTGCAACATGGTTGTTTGGAGTTTGCTCATCACAAGGGAATTTAACACAACAGACGATTGACATGTGTTTTAATAATCATTTAATTTTGGAGTTAAAAGGCTTCGTAAACTTTTCTTCAGCTAATCTGAAAGTCATATGAAGTTTGCAGGTCTGCAGAAAATCTGAAATGTCCGTCACAAACTTAACAATCATCTGACCCCATTGTGTGATTTTTTTTTCTCACTTTGTAGCTGAGTTATTGTTTTCACTAACTCCACTGACTTTCCGAAAATGTTTGCAAAAGCAGTCAGAATACCCCAGAGACAGAGTTTATATACCTGTGGCCACTGAAGGGATCACCTGAATTCAACAATTTTCATAAGTGTTGTTGATCAGCATATACTGTATCTCTGAAAAAAATTACTTTTGTGGAAGACCAATCTAATTCTGAGAGGGAGAGAAGAATAGAGGTGAAACCATCATTTATGACTGTTCTTACTCTTTTTATTGTCTCTCACCATTGATCTCTTTGTAAGTGTTGATTTGTAATCTGCATACTGAACATGGATCTTTCAGTGCTTTATAAAGGTAACTTTGAAATCAGTTCAGGATTTTCAGCATCACAGAGAGGGTTCATTTCTTACCTGGCTCTATCACCACAGTAGCATATGCGACAAACTTAATCTGCTCTTTAACAGATTAGGTTTGCAGATTAGAGCTCAAGAGCATAAAATCACTTTTTCTCAACTAAAGAATGCCAGGAAAAGAATAAATAAATAAAACCTGGTAGTCTGTGAACAGTGCCTTCTTTTCTCTCCTTCATCTTCTGTCTTTTAACATAATTTGATGAGTTGCTTCTCATCAGAATGAATCCATATCTACTTAAAACAGAGATTGTTCATTCTAAAGTTTGCTCCAATTAGAGGTTGATGGATTAAAACTAATATTAGTTGTGTTTCTTAACTAAAATGCCTTAACCTTAAACAATGTTCATGTCGAAACAAGTTCAATCTAATTGCCATGAAGAGTAGAGTTTGGATGACAGAAATGACCTCAGATGTTTTCAATACATCTGTTATTGCTGGAAAAATATAACTTAAAGCATATGCCATTGGCCTTCTTGCACAGAAAAGTTGCAGCATTATTTATAACAGATACCACAAATTGTTTGAGTTTCCTACCAAGGATGTTGGAGAGCCTGCTCACAAGTGTACCTCTTCATGGGGTCCTTTTCCATCATATGACAGATGAAGTCTTTGGCTGCCAACAAAATTTAGGTTCATGTTATTGAAAAGCACTTGTAATTGTTGTGTCCACTGTCAGTATTCTGGAAGTACCTGAATCTGAGATGTCATCCCAGTATGGAGAGTCGAATTCATACTCTGCTTTCAGAATCTGCTCAAATAACTTGGCATCATTTTCGTCGTAAAACGGAGGATATCCACAGAGTCTGGGGGGACAAAGTTACAATCTGATCATTTCCTTGTAAAAGGTTAATTTGAAAAGTAAACAAAAAAGATCAACTCACAAAATGTAAGAAATAACTCCTATGGACCAGCAATCTACAGCTTTACTGTACGGTTTCTGAGCGAGGACTTCGGGGGCTGTGAAGCAAACACAATACGCAGAGAGTATAAAGATGTAAGTAATTTTGACCTTTCAGCAAAACTGAATGATCTAACAGGTCACTCTAAGCAGGACCGGAGCTCTTCTGAAACACTTAGAACTGGCTCAGAAGTGGATAAAGAGCCTCTTATAGTCCTTTGAGTAATGAGATGTCATCTGTAACAGCTCTCATGGAAATGAGAGGATGAGGTGAAGAGAATCTGAATGACCAGAGAAAGAGCCCCTCACCCACATAACCAGGAGTGCCACACGCCGTGGACATGACACTGCCCGCTCCCTCGATCTTCGACAGACCAAAGTCACTGATCATGATTTTGGAGTCTTCATCCATACTGTAATACAGTAAATTCTCTGGCTGCAAACAAAACAACATAGGATCAGTGTTATTGTTTGAAAACGAGAAGTGGCGGTATTGCGTCTGCCTTTTATGGAAGCAGGTACCTTCAAATCTCTGTGGACGATTCCCATATCATGGAGATATTTTACAGCGTCCAAGATCTGGTGGATGAGCTGGCTGGCATCCCTCTCTGTGTAGAACCCTTTCTCCACAATCCGGTCGAAAAGTTCCCCACCCGAAACTCTGTCAAAAAGAAAAATATGTAAAAAAAAAATTATAAAAAGCTTACTTTTCTAAAATAAACTTTTCAACTTTTCTTGGGTGAGAAAATGTATGATGTTGATTTGTTTTATTTATTTTTTTGCTTTTTTTGAGTAAAAGAAAGTTATTTTAAAAGTTAAGTGAAAATGCATTCATTTTGTTTCTAGTGAAAATGCTCCCTCAGCCCATCCAAAACAATGAACTGTACACCAGCATATGAAAATATCTTGATGAATTGAATATTAATGGTATGTCCTAATTTTTTCACATCAATTGAGCACTACATAAAGTTCATGAGTGACATAAGTACAATATTTAAATTTAACATAGTTCTAAATATCAGCTGTAAAATAAAAATTAAAAAGTTATCTTTTTGAAAAGTTTTGTGAAATCTTTTTTTTAATAGCTCGTTAGCATCTTGTTGAAATCTGCACACAATCCTGTCTTCATTGAGACCCCTGGTCAAATTCATGCCTTTCCAATCATATTAAGTTTTCAAAATGAAGAGGCTTCATCTATTAACCATTAAACATGAATGTTCATTGTATGTGAAGTTTTGCCATTACAGACTGTTTAGCATTTACAAATAAATCAGATCTCAGCTTGCAGAGAGAAAAAAGGAGTTTTTTGATACTGTGATTTTTCTCCTCTGGCCATCATACTAGTGACTACAGCCAAATTAACAAGGCAGATGTCTTCAGATTATGTAAGTAGAGGATTACTGAGCTGATGTTTTGCCTAAATGAAATCAGGGTTTTAAATCAGCTTGAAGGGCTTTGAGACCGACTGCAATCTAAAATGTGGTCTTAATGAGGCTCTATTTAATTTGAATCCCAGACTTTATTTACAGTCTGACAACAGAGGTGGAAAAATGTATGGATGTAAACTAGTTTATTGTTAACATGGTTGAATGCATTATTTGTGAACACAGATTATAACAAAGACCAGAGTAGTTGTAGAAAAGCTGACACAGACAGTTTTTGGAAAATAAGTTGACATGATTAATTTGCAAAGTGACATATGTATACTTTTTTCAGGACTCTGAAAAAGTATTTATCCCTTTATAGATTGCTTTTGAATTTGCCTTTTTTTGGTCTCACTTACATCATTCAGATCATTAAACAAAATTATATATCATACAGATATCGAGTCAAATCAAAAGTGCTTCTCAAAAGTGGATGTTATTCATTAAAAAAGCTTCTGAAGAGTCCTGATCTTAGAAAGTAAATACTCTTCTGGTTAAATCTCAAACTTTGTTTTGTTTTGTTTTTTTTAAAGATCCTTTCAGAAAAACATCTTGTAACCTCTTGTCTGCTTTGAATTTATAAATAGCTACCTTTTCTTTTTTGGACTGCTAGCATTTGGTGTATTGTATAACCCTGGGCATGTTATCTTTCACAACCTTTCTTTAGCTGCAGAGTTGTGTTGTTCTTGAGCTAGCCGTAGTCTGAGTTGCACTTAATGACTATTTCTCAATGATTATTTGGTATTGTCCAAAACTTAGCTAGAATCCTTCACATCCCCTAACTTCACCTATAAAAACTGATCCTATTTAAAGGAATAGGCTGGTAAATCCAAAATGTAGCATGTGACTACATTTTTGTACACCTACCAAAAACTTTTGCACTGATACATTTCTATTGTTTTGGCTGCGTTTTGTTGCTATTTTTCACATGTGTGGGTGTCTATGATGGCTAAATGCCTGGATTTTGCTCTGTATGTTTCCCAAGCAGGACAAGTTAACTTTAAGACACAGCCTCTTAAATAATTCCAGTTCTCACAAGGAAAAAAGAGAAAAAAATACAAATATATATACATATCTTTTTAATGGGTATTTCTCAATCAAGTAGTAGGACAAAGTCTTATTTCAATTGCTTCTACAGTCAGTTATCTGCAGAAAAATGATGGATAATCTTTGATTTAGATAGAAGGACAAGAAAGAAAGGCTACTCACAGTTGCATTACAAGATATAGATGAGACATACTCTCAAAGATGTCCTCCAGTGAAACAATGTTTGGGTGCTTGATTCTAGAGGAGATATATGACAGAAATCTTGCTGAAATAAGGCTGATCTCATCATAGTTTGGTCAATAGATGTATCTGTGATGAACAGATCACATGAAGAAAAGTCTGCTCTCTCATTTTTATAGAAAGCAAAACTGGAAAAGCAATTACGCTACACGGAAAATACATAAAAGTTCTAAATAAACCCGTTCACTGAAAAATGACAAACGTTAAGGAGGGTTGACATTCAGAACAACAGCTTGAAACACTAACAAAGAAATGATGCTGAACTTAACAAAAAAATAAACTGCAATAAATGCTAATCTCATCTCATTCAGAGATTGATCTGGACAAAGTGGCTATCAGCGCTGAGTTGAGAGCGTATGAGCTCACACCACTTCAACAAAAAGAGGCTCAAAATGTCTAACTATAAATAGATGGTTTCACATCTTTCACTGGACTCCCTGTTACTTTATTGCTTTAAGTATTTCCAAAACTCCACACTCCCGGCACTTCTCTTCTTCTTCTTCTTCTTTCAAAGCCTCCCGCACACAACTCCTCACCACTCCCCGCACTCCCACCCTCTCCGTGTCTCTTTCTCTTTCTTCAGTACACTGCTGCGGGGAACTCCACACCATCTCCGCCTCTGTGTGCTGTTGCCCTAGAAACAGGGACACTAAAAATAGGCCTATCTTCTTTACTCCTGACATTTCCGGTGCACAATCCTACTGTTTCCACTGACACTATACATTCAGTCATCTTTTCTGTTGACCCCAATGGTGGATCCACACGTGCATGTGGTGAGACGCTGCACTGACTAATTCCTGAGCCCACGGCGGATGCGTGGCAGGAACCTCACCTGTGCAGAACAGCGATCTCGTTTTCAATGTTGTTCTCTTTTCCTTCAAGGGCTTTCTTAGGGATGCACTTGATGGCCACTAGCCTCTGAGTCCTCTTCTCCTCTGCGAGAACCACCTCGGAGAAAGCCCCCCTGCAACATATCATCACATCTAAATATTATAAATTTGATAGAGTGTGGAAAAAATTGTCTTTTTTCATTTTTTCTGCTTGTAAAATCTGGTTTTCCCAACAATTTCACATCTTCCATTCTTTTTTGTAGCCATTGGTCTGCGTGTACGCTAGAGTGTACGTACAGATGAAAAATTCAAAGTGGTAACACTACTAAGTGATTTGGAAGGGGCTGGAGCAAAATCTCCAGAGTTGAAGCATATTTGTTGGAAGAAGAGAAACGCAGCTGCCGTTAAGAAATGAAACTATTTTTAATCCATTCAATAATGGATAGCATAAATGTAGTGGAGTTGCAACTAAGGGAGACCAGGCTGCATTATGGATTATGGTCTGGTAATGATGAGGGGGAGAATTCTGTGTATTTACACTGTGTGTCAACACACTGAAGCGTGGGTGGAGGCAAAGGAGGAGGCCTAAATGCCTGAACATTGGAAGTCACCACGGGGATCCGATCCATGTACAAAAAAGCGCTGAAGAGACAATCATAATAGATCACCACTCAAAAACCTGTTCCCCTGGGTTTTAAGGGGATCTCTATCGAAATAGAGATGTTATTTTTATATATTTTGTCAAATCAATCTGCAGCCTTCTCAATGTCAGAAACCAACAAATTCCAATATTCATGTTCAGCTTCTCGTTTGATTCCAGGCATGTCTCTCTGATGTGGCTTCATAGAATGAATCCCCGCTTTGCTCCGTTGCATCCTGCAATCATGAAAACAGCACGGGAAAAGTCTAAAGCTGTCAAGAGAGGGGCCACTTTTCACACTCGTCTCCAGTTTCATTTTTAAACCGTCCTAAAATAATCCCCTCAACAAAATCACATAAGGTTCCTGTTCTCATCGACCCATAAAAGCGTCTTAATGCGTTTATGTCTGCACCATCTTTAGCCATGGATTCATCAGAGAGACCAGAATTCTAAACCTCAATTATCTGCTGGTTAAGTTTTTGTTTAGGAAGTTGAATTGGAAACCACAAGAAAAAATAGAAGAGGCTGAAACTTGATATTTCTATTCCCTATAAGAAAAGACACATAACCTTTTTTTTCCTACTGTCTGATCTTAAATCATTCTTTCTTTTGTAGGTTGGATAGAGTTACCAAAATTGTGTCTGTTGCTAAATGCCACAACAATGATACAGAACATTTTTCAGTCACATTTTGCAAATTCTGAGGTTCACAGACATTTATGCACATTTTCTTATATTGCCTTTTAAACTCTATGTTTTTGGTAAAACATTTTGGCTCTCCTACCGCTCAAAATAATTTGCAGGAATTTTGTCCCATTCCTCTAGAAAGAACTGGTGTATGACGCTTTGCTATATTAATCGTTTTAGCTCTGATCACAAATTTTTTGTTTTGTTTTATGCATGACCAAGCAATCTTAATCAGCGAAAAAGCTTTAACTTAGTTTGTGGTGAAACTTTGAAATTGTACCAATTATTTTAGAATCTTATATTTTTACAATCCTGAAATATAAAAATTTGGAAGTTGATGCATATAACATATATTCATATTGCACCTTGTTATATTAATATACAGACTTCAAATATAGATTACATTTGCTTGTTTTTGTTCTATCCATCCGTCCATCCATCCGTCCAACCATCCATTTTTTCTCCCTTGTCTATCTAATGAAGGGTAGATTTCTGAGGAAATACTGCAATCTTTAAACCCACCCTCATTTTGATCATGTTAAACCAAAGTTTGAACAACTTAAGACTTAACAGAAAAACAAAAACAAAATCTGCATGGTGTAAAACCCAAGGTAACACCAGGTTCTATGACAAAGCTGTTCTATGACATTTATATTCATGGTCACAGAAACTGCCAAGCTGACAGATGTATTAGCTCTGAGTCTCTGAGACCAGTGAGTCATGCAAAACTTTCATTTATACATTTTTTTGAACATGGAGTTAAAGTAAGGGCAAGAATTTGTTACTGGCACTAAATTAGTTTTTGCTGTACGATGGTTTAACTGCATTATTTAAATATTTAAATCCATGAGGCCTGACTGTAGCACAAACTACCCATTTATCTATTTTTATGACTCTCAGGCGTGACTGTACAAAGTGCACATTAACTCTTCACAAAATCTCATTAGTAGAGAGCAGTAGCAACAGTAGCTTCCTCTCCTCCTTTGCATTTCTCTCACAGATCCACTGAGAGCCCACACCTACTATGTCTCCAAGGAGAAACGAGCAAGTGGATGGTTAATTACAGTGTCTAATGGCAACAGAAGATAGGTGTGTATGTGTGTATACTTTCTGATTTAGTGTCAGGCTTTTTGACTCTCACAAGGATTTCAGAGAGTGATACTGCAAATAAAACTAGTTTGGTTTACTTAGAAGAACAAACACAGTTACTCTAAATATTATACATCATATATTCATGGTTGATTTGGTTTATGACCACATTTGTGCTACATTATGCAATCTACCTGGAAACAGTAGCAATTTTGTGCTAAGAGCAACATTTTAGTTTATGTAGTCATTTCAAAAATATAACACAGCAATAAATACTCAGATTAGTTTATTTAAAAAATTTCACATTTAATTTTCTTTACATATATCTCTGGAAATTAAATTAAACACAATAATTACAAATAAATACCAAAAAGTAATACTTTTTCTAAATAATCAAAAGTTGATTAACAAAATAGTGTGATTGTTCTGAGGAAAAAGGACACGCACACTCTGACAAGAAAAGAAAAAACAAACTTCAGGAAATTGCATCTTATCATGTTTACAGTGAGATAAAGTACACACACCCAATTTCTTCTGTCCTCTTCTAATTGTACAGGAATTAAAATTCCTGTACAATCAACAACAACCGACTGTATGACATGTGATGACATTTTCAAGTTTTGGAAATCTTTTTAAGCATCTCGTGGAAAGTCCTCAGGCAATATTGACAGTATTAACTAACTATGACTAATAGAAATAATTATAGATAGACAATAAGATATAGACAATTACAGATAGATAATAAAATATAAGTAATTATAGACAAACAGATACCACCAGTCCCAAAGCCATCGGCACATCATGAACACATTCAGCACAGCGTGGGTCCCTGTCTGACACACTCACACACATGCAGGCACACGGAAACAAGTTGGTAAAGACACTGTAATCCCAGCTGCCTATATAGGCAAATATTGACTCACACATTCTCAAATTGCTATGAGAGTCTCAGTGTTCAAGGTATGAGCTGTCTTCAAGACTTCCCAAAGGGGTGGTTAAATAAACACAAACACAAATGATGTTGATAACTGTATCAATTATTATGCTTTTAATTTTGACTCCATCACCCATCTTAAGAAATCAAAATGATCAGCAGGGACAAAGTTATTTGTTTTCAATCCAATAGCAGCCAAATCACTCCAAAGGAGTCCAAACACAATTTGTCTACATCAAAAGCACTGACTGTGAGTAAAAGATGAATGCAACCACTAATTTCACCTTTTGGTTTGTGAAATTCAGCTTAGAGCACACATATTGAAAACTTCAACCAATATATTCTCAAGGGCCTTTGTTTTTCTTCTGGGTTGGTGCAAAATTGTTCCTCAAAGGGACACAAAATCTGTTTTCTTCCTGAATTGTTATGGAAAGACATTGTAGGCTGGTAATATTTGCGTATCTGCTGGATAAGATAAACATGGCACCTTCAGGTCTCTGGGAAACTAGTTTGGCTTATTTGTCAGCACAATCACAGCTACTCTAAGTATTATTAAATGTATATCATATTTTCAAGATTTGTTGAGTTCATCACCACATTTCTATTGTGTTATGCAATCCACGTAGAAACAGTAGCAATATAGTGGTAAAGAGCAACACTTCAGTTTGTGTAGTCATTTAAAACAATGACGCAATAGGATCTAGGTTCAACTCTAATTTAGTCTCTACAAGTCACACGTTTGCTTATGATGTAGCTGTAATTTTTAAATTAACTATAACAAAGGTTACTTTTCCATTTCACCATTTTACTTCACCATAAGTAACATTTGAATCTGTGCAGTTTGATAAATGGAGCTTAGAATTAATTGTAAAACATGCTATAAACCAGCTCATTGCCAGATTAAAGCCAAGAATTAACAGATGTTGTGCTTTCCTTCTAGCAATACTGAAACAAACAAGCAAAAGCAGAAATAAAAAGCGCAGGAAACTTTTAATTGACATCAACATCTGTACAACATAAGCTCTGTAATCTATGCTTGATGGTGAATGTCTGCTATAGGTTTTGAGTCAAACCAAAGTTGGACCAATATAGTCTAAAAAAGTGCATACATAACTTGGCAAGGCTCTAATACGTTGCACAGTTAGGAACTGATGAGCATAATTGATCTTGCACTGGTAAATACTGACACCTACTAAATCATCCATTCATTGTCTGAACTGGACAGGTTGCCAGTCCGTCAAAGCGCCTACAAAATTGTACGCAATTCAAATATCTCCACTTTTATAAAGGATGTCTTCACAAAAATTTCCTTGTCATGTAGCAGTTGTGCAACTTGTCCTCTGGTTCCTCTTAAATCATGAGTTTGCGAAGCCTCTTACCTCCACAGACAATCTGATAAGCATGTGTGCTTTGTAGCAGCGTTAAGAGGTAAATAAGCACATAGTTTAAGCTCTTACTGGATATCCACCAGAAGAGTTCAGGTAGCTCTTAAAACCGACCCATTCAGTAATTTACAACCCTGTACATTTTTTTTTAAAGACTATGAAATGAAACCGTTTTTGAAAACATGGTCCCTGCATTTACACCATATAAAAACTCCCAAAATCTTTTCATCCATCAATAAACATCTGAAATTACACCGTAAAAGAACAGTAGAATATAATCTTTACCCCTTGTTGCTCTAATCTACACATCTGCCTGTATGATATGCCTGTATAATAATCTAACCAGGGTCAGAGTAAGAGCAAAGTAAGTATGTTTTTGTAAAGTGCATGGTGTTTTTTT